ACACACCAATGTGCTTTACCATAGAACAACGTCAAAGCATCCACGATATGCGAAAAATTGGTAGGATCGGCGGAAGACTCGTATAGGCTCATCTTCCTCCTATCCACGTGGGCAAAAACTATGGAAGCACTACTCCTCCCCAGCACCTCAAGCTAGCCCAACACCAGCATCGATTCCGCAGCATTGAACGTCACGAGTACATTCCACATGACGAAAATAACTGTATTCGCATAAATTGCCTACTCCACTTTGTTTTTAGCATATATTTTTGTTGCGTTCCAGGTGCTTCACGATTTGCAGGTTTTAGAAGATTTACAGGAAACGCTGTTTTCGCAATTAATAAACCTTATGGAAGGTGGCAACCGGGAACAGCTTTCTGTTAAACTCTGTAAATCGTGAAGCATCTGGAACGCTACTATTATAAAAAACAACACATATTTGCCTACATTCAAAGTTAAAAGCAACTGTGAAACTCACTATTTGACCGTTCATAGCCTATGATAGCTCGCAAGCGATATCTTCTGCTATCTATCGCCTGGGATTGCAATGAGCGGTCTCCTCAAGCGATTTATCGCCGGAGATCTATCGCGGCAGATAAACAATCGTTATCGTAGACGGCATGTTATAATACTCGGGGTAAATGATTTTACCCGCTGTCTTTACCAGTTTGAAAATCTCGCTTCAGTCCTACTTTTTTCGCAAGCGGATAAACGATGTGGCTGATTCGAAGAATTTTGCGAAATGAAACAATAGCTGTCAATCAACAAAAATGGCTGTTGAAAACAAGCGAGAAGTCGCCAACCGCTCGGTATGCGAGAAAAATTTTGCTTCGTACTTTTTGCAGTCTACAGGTGCGGGATCTTGCATGTTCCGTGTACGTTACGCCTACGTGCGTTACAATCATTTGCATTCAATACACTCCGTTCCGTTTCTTTGTAGGGTGGCAGCTCTGTGTGTTTACAGCCTCTTTATCTTTAACTACATTCAGGTGGCAACACTCAAGGTGGCAAAAGTCAAGCTGTCAGCTGTTTTTGTGTCAATACGAAATTTTTGTCCAGACACCTTTTTAGATTTTGCAATAAACGCTGTGGGAAAACTCAGATTATTGGACTGTGATAGCTGCTGTTGTCTTTCAATAACTTTTTAACGTTCAGGTAAATTGCAAAAATACGTTAAATGGATTCGGCCAACAGCAGTGTGGCTTCTGTGAAAATGAATGGGACCAGCACAACCAATAGTGTTGCTGAAGCACCAATAAAAGCAAGTAAGTATATAAATTAGTGAATAGAAGCACTAAAATCAGGTGAGGTGTCAATGAGCCATTAAGAAAAGCTTGTGCGTTAAGGGAAAATTTTAGTTTGGCATCCCCCGCGTACAAAAAAAAGGTGGCTATAGGGGGGGTAGGGGGCGTTCTCCTGATTCCAAATATATATACTTTTAGC